GGGTCTAGAGAGGGGTTTAGTAAATCTGAAATTAAATTCAGATTTTCCCAAGGGAGGGGAGGGATTAATTTGAATTTCAAAAATTATCCCAAAGAGGCAAGAGGGGATTAGAGGGGGAATTAATGGTGATTGGAACTTAAATTGGAGAGAGAAAAGGATTGGTAAGGGGTGGGTGGGGTTTTATTTTAAGTATGTGGGACCCCAGGGAATAAATAATGATTGAAATCAAATTTGAATTTAATTTCATATTTGATTTAAATATGCAGGTTTCCTAAATGAGTTTCTAGCAAAAGGAAAGTATTTGAATTCAAATATTTAATTGAATTCCCAATAGGAAACTTTTCTAATTGACTAGGACTTAATTTAGAAAAGTGATTAAACACAATTGAACTTTTGAATTTTAGAATTTTGGAGGCAAGGTGGTCGGCGGGTTAAGCTTGGGAAGGGGAGGGGCGGTGGGGTGGAGGCCGGCAACCGAGTTGGTGAAGTGGTCAGCGGCTTGAGAGGGTGGAGAGGGCGGCAGGTAATGGGGAAAGGGGGATGGGTGCCGTCGGTTTTGGGGAAGAGGGAGGAGTTGGCCGGCGGGTATAGGGGAAGAAGGGAGGAAGAAGAAGATTACAATAAAGAACCAAGAGCTCACCCGTTGGTGGGCTGTTGGGTATTCCGTTGGCCTCTCCTAGGTTTCACCACTCTCAAGAACTCACAAATAGATCAACAAGAAAGCAAACTAGAATTTCATTCATCAAAACATCATCCCTTTAATAATAGAAGAGGCCACAATATATATTCCTAGAGAAATAAAATAACAATGACTCAAATGCCCCTTGGGCTACAATTCAAGCAAACTCCAAAGAAAGGGTACAATCGTAAATAGCAAATAAATAAACTACAATACATAAAAGCATCAAAAATAAAGACTGTGAATCGTAGCAATCGATCTACGATTCCTATGCTGATAGACTCGTCGATAACATCTGTCGATGGCCTCATCAGAAACAAATAGTGCTTCAAGGGGATGCCAGCTTATGCAAGAACATTGTATCTTTAAAACTATGCTCAGGACAATTCAGGATGCAGGCTGAGGTTATTTGGTAGAGTTGCAACGCATAGAAAGGGTCCAAGAACAGGATGTAAGGGAAATTCCAGTGGGGGCCAAACAAATTCTGCAACAATATCATGATGTATTTTAGTCACCGGTCATATTACCACCGCCTCGAGAGCACAACCATGCTATCAACTTGAAGCCAACGGACTTCTCCCATCAGTGATCAATAATAGTCTTTATACGCGGCACCCACCCCCCCACCAGAGAATCAAAAAGCATGCCGAGAGAGACATTGATCAGGGAGAGATGATTGAAGCAGGGATCATAAGACCTAGTGTGAGTCCCTTCTCCAGACCAATATTGTTGGTGAAGAAGTATGGCAGCTGGAGGTTCTGTATAGATTATAGAGCTCAAAACAAGGAAACAGTGTTAGATAATCTTCCAATTTCAGTGATAGATGAACTCTTGGATGAGTTATTTGGAGCTGTGATCTTCTCCAAAATAGATTTGAAGTCGGGAAACCATCAAATTAGGATGAAGACAGCACGGCCTTCAGGACAAATGAAGTGCACTATGAGTTCCTTGTGATGCCTTTTGGCTCTCCAACACCCCATCCACCTTCCAGTCACTTATTAACCAAGTGTTCCAGCCATATCTCTAAAGGTTTGTCCTAGTAGTTTTTTATGACAATTTGATATACAGCATGACAGAGACAGAACAATGGGAACACTTGAAAACTATCATGTAGACATTGAGGGAGAATTAGTTGTTTGCCAACTAGAAAAATTGCACATTTGGGCAATCACAGGTGGAGTATTTAGGGCATGTGCTAGAAAGGGGGTGTCAGCTGACCAGTCTAAAATTCAAGCCATGGTGGATTGGCCTCTCCTTAAGAACTTGAGGGAGCTATGGGGGTTCTTGGGGCTCACAAGTTACTATTGAAATTCGTGAAGGGCTATGGTACCATAACAAGACCTTTAACAGAGCAATTGAAAAAAAATAATTTCAAGTGGGGGAGGAGGCGACACGAGCCTTCCAAGAGTTGAAGGCAGCGATGACCAGTGTACCTATGTTGGCACTTCCAGATTTTAGGAGACCCTTTGTGATGGAGACAATTGCATCAGGTTATAGGCTAGGAAAAATACTCATGCAAGATCAGAGACCTATTGTATACTTTAACTAGGTGCTCAAAGCCAGGGCAAAACTCAAGTTGGTGTATGAGTACTACTTGTTGGGGAGACACTTCCTAGTCAGGACAAATCAAAGGAGTCTGAAGTAATTATTGGAACAACAGATTGTCACAAAGGAGCATCAGCAGTGGTTATCCAAATTGTTGGGATATGACTTTGAGATACAGTACCGACTTGGCCTAGAAAAAAAGGTAGCAAATGCCTTGTCTAGAAGAGTGGAGGAGCCTCTATTGATAACCTTGTTAATACCCATGAGCCTAGATTGGGAAGCCTTAAAACAGGAGAATGAACAGGATGAAGGATTGAAGAAGATCAGAGCCAACTTACAGCAAGACCCGATTAGTCACCCTAGTTACACACCAAGGGGAGCCCAACTGCTACACCAAGGGAGATTGGTACTACCAGGCGAATTAAGATATATCCCTAAGCTATTACAGGAGTTTCATGGCAGCACAGTCAGAGGGCATTCTGGAGTTTAGAAAACCTATAGTCGAGTATCTGCATAACTATTCTAAGTGGGGATGCACCGTGATGTAGATGATTGGGTAGCTCAATGTGATGTATGCCAAAGGTACGACACCGACATGATTACTATAACCCCTAGCTCTACCCACGAGGGTATGGGAGGAGGTGACGATGAATTTCATCGGGGGGTTACCACGATCAGACGTGTTCATAGTGATATTAGTAGAAGTGGATTGTCTAAGAAAATACGCCCACTTCGTCCCTCTAAAGCACACTCATACCGCGGTTCTTGTGGCTACTATTTTCATACAAGAAGTGGTGCGCTTGCATGGATTCCCTAAAGCTATTGTGCTAGTCAGGGACAAGGTGTTCCTTAACCACTTCTGGAAAGAGTTATTTTGTTTGTCGGGGATGGTCTTGAAGAAAAGCACAGCCTATTTGAGATGCTTTGCATCAGACACGCCGGAGAAATGGGCAAGGTGGATTGCATGGGCCGAGTATTGGTATAACAGCTCATATCATTCATCAGCAAAGACCACTCCCTTTAGGATTCTCTATACGAGAGATCCACCTCACTTAATTCATTATGAGTAGAACACTACACCAGTATATGCTGTAGAGCAATACTTAGACTTAGAAGAGAGGGACAAGATATTATCTAGGCTCAAGGGAAATTTGTTGAGAGCACAACAGATGATGAAAAGGAAGGTTGATGAGCACAGAAGAGAAGTAAAATTCGAGCCAGGAGAGATGGTTTACTTAAAATTGAGGCCCTATGGACATAAAACACTAGCAAGGAGGAAGAATGAAAAAATTATCCACACGATACTTTGGGCCTTATGAGGTCTTGGAGCGCATTGGAGCAGTAGCCTATCGATTAGGGTTATCACCCACATCAGCATTACACCCAGTCTTTCATGTCTCCCAACTAAGGAAGGCAATCAGAGAACACACAACACCGACATTGATAAAAGATATGGAGGTCATATTAAAACCCCTAGAGGTTATCGGGTGTGCGTGGTGGTGGTGCAAAAGCACAAGAGATGGTAATCAAGTGGAAGGATCTACCGGAGCACGACGCAACGGGGGAATCATTCGAGACAATCATGAGGAAGTTACCAACCTTCCACCTTAAGGATAAGGTGGTACTTTTGGGGTAGGAGTATTGATACGGAGGCAGAGGCAGCATCCCCAATGGTTGATTTGGTGGGGTCCAGCAAGGATCTAATTACTTATGTTAGGAGGGGATTAATTAGGAAAGGAATTTTCTAATTTGAATTCAAATAAGAGAGGGAATTAATTAAGGCAGGAATGCTAAATTAGGAGGGAAATATATTAGAAAAGGGGGCTAAGGAGGTGGGAGAGCTTATTTAAGGGGAAGTTTAGGGTTATTTTGTTTTATTTAGAATTTGAGTTGTGTTCTAGTATTTTCATTTTTTGAGGGCTTCCTAACAACATCTAGGGTTAGCGGGAGAGACGATCTACATCTCTAGTTGTAGGTTGATTGTATATTTTGTTTTTTGTTGTGTTATTAATAAAAATGCTCACTATTCCCCCGAAATTTGTTGTTTTTAACTTGTTTTTTTGTGGATTTCCTGCTATGGTTTGTTGTTGTCTCCAAGATGTATCATATAAGTTATTTAATTACAACGATTCAAAATTCAACTTTAATCCTACATGAAATTCACTTAGGCAAACTACTCCTAAGACACATCTCCATGTTAATCACCAAATTCTAACTCTAAATATTATTTCTTCATCTACATTCTTATTGTTTGGCATAAGAGGTTCAAGACCTATCACATCAAAGTATGGTTAGATCATATAATAAAACTGGTTGATAATTATTATTTTCATGTTAGTAAAATTGCAAGGAGAAAATGATCAAAATGGTCCCCAGTACTTGATGCTCCCTCCAATGTAGGATTTGGGAAGAAGTTGATGCAGCATTCTTATCCTTGCATTGCAATAAAGCGATTCCAATAATGCAAATCAATGACATCCAAATCACAATTAAAGCAACCATTGCTCATTGCTCAGAGCCTGCCCTCAACAAATTCATATGCAATTCACTCCCTCAAATTAAAGGATATGTTAAAGATGTGTTTGCACGGACACGAACAGAAAGATTTAAATGCATTGATGATTGCAGATGTAAATTATCTAGAGAACACATGGTTTGCAAGTTTGCCGTGATGAGGATTGGCAGCACACTTGTTACATGTCACAAACAAAGATTATTGAGAAAATGATTTAAAAGAACTATAAAAATACAAACTCATCAATCTAGTGAAACCAACCTGTTCGTAGAATATTTCCTCAATGGCCATTGATGCCTTAATTATTAAACTCAAGGCCTCCTTGTCTGCATTTGAAAGCCCATTCAACTGTATCAAGTAAAATAAAGGAAATAGAATAAATAGTCAGATCAAGCGCTACAAATTAAAATAGAAATATGCACAAATACAGCATCTGTTGAAACCAAGAATTCCAATATGGACTAAGAAGAAACCAAAATGATGTCACGCAGATACAACCACAAACAAAAATGAGAGCAAAAGAAGCCAAGTCACGCATGCAAGCAAAGTGAAACAATAGTTTTACATTTATGCTTTAAAAAATCTACAAAGTCATCACTAAACTGATATGCATTGCATCGCCACCTCCAAACCTATCACAGGACAGAATAATCTCCAAAATACAATCAAGCATAAACAAGACATAAAAAATCATATGTGGTCTAAAGAATCAGGCTTAAAGCAAAGTATAGTGCAATGGCATTTGATATTTACACATACATGCTGTCAAAAACATTCTTAGAGCAACGAAATTAACAAATTGATGCAATAAAAAGCACAAGAATTGCAAACTCAAGTCATCCTTTCCGTAAACATTAAAATCCTATTATAAATAAAGACACACCTTACAACTTTAAATAAAATGGACAACAACAACAAACAACTTAAATGAAACACGATGCAACGACACCACTCAAAGACACCTTAAAACTTTTCGAAGTTGGAGAAGAAAGATACAGACGGAATGAACACCGTGTAGAGAAGAAGTAGGTAGAAGTCCGTAGGTAGAAGACCAAGAAGAAGTAAAAGAAGTAGGGTAGAGGAAGGTATAGATAACCCGTAGGTTATATATTCCAAATATTCATCACTAATCTCTCTAAAAACAGCATCAAACAGCCCCCTATAAATACGGAAAAATGAATCCAAACAACCCCAAAAGGTGTCGCCCAAGCCTCCAATAGGAGCAGCCATAATTTATGGGAAATCACGAAGAAAGAGGCACGACCAGCCCAAGAACCAAGCAGCCAGAACACCAACAGCTAGCCTAGGAACCAAACAGCCAGAAAACCAACGGCCATAGCAAGAACCGAACAGCCAAATCTTGGGAAATACCCAAGAGAGAGGCACGGCCAGCCCAGGAACCAATCAGCCAAAAAAAACATCAGCTGAGATAACCAAAACACCAAGCAGCCAAGGGACAATGGGCCAAGCCCAATAAAGAAAATTCAGCCCAACCATAAATGCCCATTAAGGGAAAAATTGAAACTTTTGCCTACATCAATTCTCCCTTGGTGGAGAAATCTCATCACCTGATGAGATTGATTATGAACTTCCAATTTGAGCAGATTGCGCCTCATCTAAATCCTTAGTCAAAGTAGTGTATTTATTTCGATCACCTCCTTTTCTCGATTAAACTCGGCTAGAAGTTGAAGCTTCTTAACTTCATATCTTTCTGTACATAAATATAAATGTTTTCGAATTTTGAGAAGCTCGATCTGTAGAGGATTAGACAATCATGCATGAGGTGGAACCCATTTTGTTGTTGGAAATTTGTCATCTGGAATCCAAGGCATAATTGGCTGACTTTCTTCTTCAGATTTATCTTTCTCAAAATTTTTATGGCTTTACTCTTATTAATTGTTTTGACTATCATTTTGTTTTAATTTAAAAAGAAAGAAAAACTCAGAACAATCTAACACTCTGATACCAAATTGATGCAATAAAAAGCAAAAGAATTGCAAACTCAAGTCATCGCTTACATAAACATAACAATACTATCTATATCTATACTACTATATAAAAGTGGCTTGGGATTCCACTCAAATGCAATCCTAGCATTCCATTTTAATCACTCAAATTAAATCCTAACCTTTCATTTCAATTATTTTAATTATAATATATTAATAATTGTACTTTTATTCATATGAAATATACTTTTGATCTTCCAAATAATTAATTATGAACCGTTATTTATTTTAGCATGTAATTAATTTGCACTCTTGATCTTCAGATGGCTAATGAAAAGAGCCGAAACACCAATGGCCATTTGGAAGGCTAAAATTTTAGTTTTATAAGAGCCAAAAAAGCCTCATCTTCTGAAATTTCAGTTTTATAAGAGCCAAAAAAGCCTCATCTTCTGAAATTTCAATTTTATAAGAGCCAAAACGCCAACAGTCTGAAATTTCAGTTTTATAAGAGCCAGAACGCCAACAGTCTGAAATTTCAGTTTTATAAGAGCCAGAACGCCAACAGCCATAAGTTTAAATATATGTGACTTTAGTAAAACTGTAATCACTTCATTAGCAATTGTAACAGTAATTATAGTAATAAATATGGAATGAAAGCATGTTGAAATCCTTTTTTACTTGTGTTATATTAATCAAGCAATGAAGATTTGTGTCTCATAATTAACGGGAGCTTGGGCTTTGCGTGAAGAGTTTTGAATGAATCGCTAAAGATTCTTCGCTATTTCAGTAGAAATCGGAAATCCATCATGAGCCTTCTCTGGTCAACTTAATAAAGGTAATAAGTAGACTTGTGAACTTTTCCATAACCCTTATTCTTTCTGTAGAATGTTACAATTTTTTTTTATGAACAATCTGATAGGAAACACTTGAAGATCTCAAGTACTTTCTATCAATCTTCGAAAAACAACGAGCTTTCTCCATAAAATCCACACAAAATCACAAAAAAATAGTAGATAATTTGTATTATTTGATGAAAGGAACACGGAAAATAGCAAGATACAATTGATCCTCTATTCGAGCGGGGATCGATCTCTCCCAAATCTCTAGAAGCCGCTAGAGCCCAAAGAAAGACCTAAATCTAGGAGATCTCAAATTTCAGCCAAATTCAAGATACACAAACCCTAGGAAAACAAACAATTTAATGCATACAAATCAAAAGAAAATCCCTAAGCAATCCCTAAATTCAAATTTCCCTCTTAATTCCCCCAAAAAACCTTCTTATTCGGCTCCCGCAAGGCTTGCGGCTCACACGGCATTTGTCGCTGTTTCGCATCTGGGCCGGTCCCGCGTGGACAGGCTGGACCGGTCTAACAATACTCCCCTCTCGAAGATCCACCTTGTCCTCAAGGTGGAAATATGCTCGTGTTCCCGCGAAGGTGGCCATCCTTGAGGTGATTGAAAAACCTTACTGTATTGCTGAATCAAGGGTTGCATGGAAAGAGAAACATCCCCTCCCTCCTCCAATTTGATCGCATCCCACCTGTTTAGTCCCACCAGATAATCTTTCCCCACCTCTTGAAGGCCCCTAACCATGGTCTTAAGTGATACCATGGCTTTGGATAGCTCTGCATCTCCCCTTATAACCACCTTTCTCCCATCCATCATTAGTTCCATCGTGAGTGCTCCCCAATTTTCCTTGGTTTCCCCTAAGGTTTGCAACCATTTTATTCCCAGGATGACATCAGTACTTCCTAATTCTAGTGGAAGAAAGTCCTCCCTTACCTGAATCCCCTGGATGGTCAACATAACTCCTCTACAGATCCCCTGGACTTTCTCCACCTTCCCTGTACCCATCATCACTCCATAACAACCGGTGTCCACCAATTTCACTCCCAATTGGTCGACGACCTAGTGGAAATGAAATTGTGGGTAGCCCCACTATCAATTAGCACCACCACCTCCCTGCCCTGTATCTCCCCCTTCACCTTAATGGTATAATTCATAGTGAATCCTACCATTGAGTTCAGAGAAACCTCAGCCATATCCAAGTGTAGCTTCTCCTCCATCTCCTCCTCGGTCTCCTCCTCACCTCCCTCCTCAATTTCCTCGTCATCGCAAACGGTGAGAACCTGAAGAGTTTGTTCATTGCACCGATGCCCTGACGTATACTTCTGCTCGCACCTGAAACACAACCCCATTGTCCTCTTCTCCTGCATCTCCTTCTCTGTCAGTCTCTTGAAATTTTCCCCACTCCCTCCTACTGGCTTCTCCCTGGTAGTCTCATTAATGTTGCCTGATGCAGTCCCCTTGGGTGTTAGAAGAGTGGTCGCCATTTTATAAGAGACTCCTGAGTTGCTGCTCCTGGCCCCCTTCTCCTAATTCTTCTGATTTTCCACCTACTGGGCCAACTTCATGGCCTCCCCCAAGTCACTAGGCATCAGAACTTTCACTGCCGCTCGGATCTCTTCCTTCAACCCCTTCATGAAGTTCCCCTCCAATACGATATATGATAATCGCTCCACCCTACTAGTCAGGTGCTCGAACCGCTCTCGGTAGTCTGCTATTGATCCCTCCTGCACCAGAGCAAAGAACTGCTCATAGAAATCTCATCCCCGATTGATTTGGAAATGTTCTATTATGCAGTCTTTGAATTCCCTCCAGTTCCTGATAGGCCTCCTCTGGTCTCTCCACTGAAACCATGACAGTGCTTTTCCTTCCAAGCACAATCCTCATATTGTCAGCTTCTCCTCCTCCATCAGCCCATTGACGGCGAAGTATCACTCGACCTTGTAAATCCACCCATATGCATCTTCTCCTTCGAATATGGGCATCTTCAACTTCCTCACCTTCTGTTCGCCAATATTACCCCTAAATCTCCCATAATTTCCCCTCTCCCAAGTGTTAGGGCCACCCAATGTTTCCTGATCTTCCCTTTCTCTGCCATAGCCCCAACCCCCTTCGAAATCCCCCCTTCTTTCTTCAAAATCAGCACCTCAACGGCCGTAGTATCCCTCCTGGCATTCCCCATATCCACCTCCCTTTTCTTCCCCTGGATAGGCCCCAGATGGGGTCTCTTCCTTCTCCTTCCATGATTTCCACCTCATCTTCCTCCCTACGAATTTCAGAATTCATATTTTTTTCCTTCCACCCTTTTCGCCAAGGAAGCCGCCGTTTGGTTTTGAATTTCTAACATCTTCTTCATCATGTCCCAGAGATCGGCAACTTGTTCTTCCATGGAGGAAATCCTTACCTCCACCGTCGTCTTGATTTGATTCATCTCTCCTTCAAGCCTTTCCTCCAGGGCATCCACTTTTTTGGCCGCCATCTCGATCCGAACTTTGGCAAATTCAAACATTCAGGATTTGTATTGCAAAAACAGCACTTCGCCCGTTCCCGACCAAA